ATAACAATAATATTATTACGCATCTACATATTGTGCCGTTTGCATGATAGTGAAAATTTCCACCTTAAGAAAACGATAATTGTAAACTCGACGGAAGAAAATTTTTCTACTCTGAAATACACAGAACGACGAAATATAAAGCTTAGGTCAGTGAAAACCTTACCTTACAGCTGTACAAGGATAAGCGCTAAATTATGCACTGTCATGTTTACGATGATTTGCAAAAGACGTTTCTGAATGCATGTTTAATTAACAAATTTGAGGTGAAAAAAAAAATCAGCACTGTACCTCGTCTCCCCACTTCAAGCAGTCGTTTTCTCGATCTTTAAGCTTGTTGTAAATATGAAGAAACTGTAGTATGCCATGTTTTCGTACATGATCGGCGTATTGCTTCGTTTCTGACCAGGATAAAGGCGATCCAAGTGAAAGAAGACCCATTGTCGATACTTGAGCTAAATTAAGCACAAAAAGAGATGAAAACTAGTGTTAGAGACACCTGCAACTTACAACAACTCAGAACAACTTCGATAACTCACATTTAGCCAACAAATGTGTCGATCGGTTGCGAAGGCAAAACAAACTTACACTGAATATGGGAGACGTTCGTTTGTTTTGAGATTATAACGCAAATAACAGGGATGGGTCACGAAATGAACCTATCAGGTGTTTTCGAACCGGTGAAGTCACGCTTGGAAGTGCAATGTCTGAGGTTAAATCATCAGACTTCAGCAAATGACAGCAAAGAGGGACAACCTCAAACAACACCTATCAACTGCGCAGCTGCTCAAAACGTCGGAGTTGAAATAAATAATAGGAAATGACGAAATTAACAATGAGGAAAAGACCTTACCACAAGATTCCGTTCAAAATTACTTCGACACAAGTACGTGTAATATAATTAAATACTTGGTCAGGGAAATGAGACGAAACAAGAACAACGCCGGTAAATTCGACAACAGTTTGGTACATTCACATTATAGCTCATTCACATGGACATTCACATGTTGCTCAATTCCTCAAAGTGACCAGGCCTTTTTGTTGCGTGACTCTCCTCAAAAAACCTGTAGAATAATATAGATCCGCAATGCGTACGTGAAATGTACTTTAAATTTGTTGCAGAAATCACAGAAAAACTTTGGAGCGATTTATGTCCAAGGTCTTCAACCCTTTCCAAATTACGTTTCTCTTAGCATTCTTTACTAATTTTATTCACAGTAAAAGAAGCTTCATTCTCTCATTAGTAATTTGAATTTGTTTTGTTTTGCTTTTTTTGAAAAGCTTTTAAGAAAGCCTACGGAGCCGGGGGTAACTTCTGATTTACCGTTTCCGGGAGGTGCAGAAGATTTTAGGGGTTTAAAATTCGCGATATTGTAAATTTTTGTCAAGAAAATTAAGGCTAGTATTTGTGGGCGTTAGTTTGATAATACCAGAGAGTGTTTATTAAGCAAAAAATAGTAAAATTCGGGGTAAAAACTGTTAACTTCAATCTACACATGAGACTCCCAGAACAGCAAAACTACGACAAAAAAAACAATGCATTCAGTGACAGGATCTCTAAACAAGATCTGGATCAGTAAAAAAGGCAAAATTGAAGAAAAAACACCAAACTTATTTTCATGACGAAGAGAGCAATTGCTGTCGCGTGGATGAGCTTGCTGTTGTTTCTTCTATGTCATACAAGCACACCATTTGTTTAAAAAGTGGTTGCATGTTTTCATATTCCACGATTGGCTCTTCCATTTAAAATTCATTATGGGATTTTTGGGGGGTTTGATT